CAAGCCGTGGCCTTTCCCTTCCCGAGGCGACGCGGGACTGGGGCCGCGCCGGCGGCAGCGACTCCCAACAGCCCCAGCCGGGAAGGGAAAGGCAAAAAGCGCTTTGCCTTTCCCTTCCCGAGGCGGCGGGACTGGGGCCGCGCCGGCGGCAACGACTCCCAACAGCCCCAGCCGGGAAGGGAAAGGCAAAAAGCGCTTTGCCTTTCCCTTCCCGAGGCGGCAGGACTGGGGCCGCGCCGGCAGCAGCGACTCCCAACAGCCCCAGCCGGGAAGGGAAAGGCAAAAAGCGCTTTGTCTTTCCCTTCCCGAGGCAGCGGGACTGGGGCCGCTCCGGCGGCAGCGACTCCACACCATTTTTTTTCAGAGGGGAATCTGACTCGAGTATAAGCCGAGGGGGATTTTTTCAGCACAAAAAATGGGCTGAAAAACTCGGCTTATACTCGAGTATATACGGTACCTCATATTGACTGGACCCTAAATGAATGTACAACTGAACCCATACACGCAACCTTCTACAATGCTGTTACAAATCTGGGACTGGAACAACGAGTAACCAACAACACTAGACTTAAACAACTGCCTCGATCTCATCTTCTGCAATAGTTTGAATTTAATTTACGGAATACAAACTAAAGAACCTTTTTCCAGCAGTGACCACAATATGATTGACTTTTGTCTCAACATACGCCCACACAAAAATCATCACAATGACGCAATCCCCAATTATAACTTCAAAAAAAAACAACTATGATCTTACAGACAACGATCTCTCATCCCTTGATTGGCAATCTCTATTCACTGGATGCAATACTGTTGAAGACCATTACAACATATTTTTACTTGAAGTCAAAAGAGTCATCAAACTATATGTACCAACAACAACTCCCAAAACAAAACAAAAAACAGATTACCCATAACAATAAGGAAGCTTCAATCCAAAAAGAGATCACTCTGGCAGAAAAACAAATCTGGTCACATTGCCAATTTCAAAAGCCGATACAAAAATTTATGCCACCAGATAAAGACTGAATGCACCAATTATCACATTAAACAAGAGGAAAACCTTCTATGCACCAATTCCACCCGCGCTTTTTACAATTTTGTAAACAACAAACTAAAAGACTCAAGGTCCATCCCACCCCTGATAGAACCTAATGGTAAAGACTGCAACGACGACACCATTAAAGCGTTATCTTTAACACATTCTTTGGCTCAGTATTTGTAAACAGCAATGGATCATGCCTCGTATTTCCTAGCCAAACCACAGACAACTACAATGATCTAATACATAATGATTTTACAGAAGACAATGTTGAAAAAGCACTACGCAATCTAAAACCATCTCTATCTATTGGACCGGATGGAATATGTGCCTACTTCTTAAAAAAGCTATCCACTGCCATAGCCTAACCTCTAAGCATAATCTTTGAAAAATCTTTCAGGACCAGCTCCTTGCCTAACCTATGGTCACAAGCCACGGTCATCCCCATCTTCAAAAAGGGAGACCCCAGCCTAGTTAAAAATTACAGACCAATCTCCTTATGCTACGTCACCTGTAAAGTCATGGAATCAATTATTAACCAATCCATTATCCTCCACTTAGAGACAAACAACCTACTCTCCAATAAACAATTTGGTTTCAGAAAAAAACTATCCTGTAATCTGCAACTCTTACACTGCAAAACATATGGACTACACAACTCGATCAGGGCAAAGCAATAGACGCAATCTACATAGACTTCTGTAAAGCCTTTGATTCAGTGGTACACGACAAACTACTCCTAAAACTAAAATCTTATGGTATCTCTTGACAACTGCATAACTGGATAGAAGCATTCCTGTCAAACAGACAACAAATGGTCAAAATTGGGAGTGTCCTATCAAATTCTGTACCTGTCAATAGTGGTGTCCCCCAAGGAAATGTTCTAGGACCAACTCTCTTCATACTCTACATAAATGACCTCTGTGATCATATTAAGAGCAACTGCGTTCTTTTCACTGATGATGTAAAGCTGTTCAATACCACAGACAATACTGCTACCCTTCAAAAAGATCTTGACTATGTATCAGAATGGTCAAACAAATGGCAACTTCAAATCTCAGCAAATAAATGCTCTGTCTTACATATTGGCAAAAAAAATCAGAAAATAAAATACAAGCTGAACAATCAAGATCTTGTTGATGATCGAAGCTCTGTAAAGGACCTTGGAATACTCATCTCTAATGATCTAAGTGCTAGAGCCCACTGTAACTACATAGCCAAAAAGGCATTAAGAGTTGTTAACCTAATCCTACATAGCTTTTTCTCTGGTAATACCACACTACTAACTAGAGCGTACAAAACATTTGCTAGACCAATACTTGAATACAGCTCATCAGTCTGGAACCCACATTACGTATCTGATATTAGCACAGTTGAGAAAGTCCAGGAATATTTCACAAGAAGAGTTCTCCACTCCTCTACTCGTTGTAGAATACCTTATGCCACCAGACTTGAAATTCTAGACCTAGAAAACCTTGAATTACGCCGTCTTCGGTCTGATCTAAGTATGGTATATAAAATCATACATTGCAATGTCCTACCTGTCAATGAATACTTCAGCTTCAACCATAACAACACAAGAGCACACAATAGATACAAACTCAAGGTTAACCACACCAAACTTGATTGCAGGAAATACGACTTCAGCAACAGAGTGGTCAATGTCTGGAATACTCTACCTGACTCTGTAGTTTCTTCCCCAAACCCCAAAAACTTTAACCTTAGACTGTCTACTGTTGACCTCACCCCTTTCCTAAAAGGTCTGTAGGGGGCATGCATAAGAGCACCAATGTGCCTACCGTCCCTGTCCTATTGTTTCTTTTATTTTTCTTATATGTACCCATTTCATGTATTCATAACTATGTATATACTTATACTTATTATCTTGTAAGCAATTGACAAATCAAATAATAAATAAATAAATAAATATTCTAGAAATATGAGTATACTCTACACAACGTAGTATTACAATTTACATTTACGTGTGTGTGTGTGTGTGTGTGTGTGTTTTGTGTGTTTGAAACACTGTTCTTAACATTTAGTTGCTTGGGCAGTCTTACCTCACAACATTTATCTATCTATCTATATTTGAGATTGATATGAGCTGATACATTAATGTCTGTATATCATATAAATGCATACAGAAGAATACATTTCTCAATTGATAAGTAGGTAGCCCTCAACTTAGTAGAACAATTGAGCCCAAAATTTCTGTTGCTAAGCAAGACAGTTGTGAAATATGTTTTGTCCCATTTCATGACCTTGGTTGACACAATTGTTTAAATGAATAACCATAGTTGTTAAGTTAATGGTTGTTAAATGAATCTGGTTGACTTTGTTGAATCTACTGACTTTGTTTGTCAGAAAGTCACAAAAAGTGATTCCATAACCCCAGAACACTGTCATTGTCATAAATGTGAGCCAGATGCCAAGTGTCCGAATTTTGAACATGTGACCATGCGGATGCTGCAATAGTCATATAAAAAATAGTCATAAATCACTTTTTTCCAGTACTGCTGGTAACTCTGAATGGTCATTAAATGAATGGTTGTAAGTCAAGCGCTGACTGTACTATATCTGACCTGCACATATATATCTGACCTGCATAATATACATTATATGTACAATGCTTAGGAAACAACTAATATTTTAAGAAATGTTCCTAAAATCATATCTACATTTCTTAAAATGAAAACACAGACTTCCTTTTTATATAGTTCTTCAGAGGGGTAGCAGCTCATGCTCCGTTTTTTCATTTGCCATTGAGACTTACATAATGTGAGAATGTTCAGGTTAAGATTGTTTGCTGTTGAATATGTAGTTCAAAAATTGAAACATGACCTTAGACTGTTCTATAGCTGCCATACTTTAATTTGATATTCATAGAATCATTTACTAAAAATACTTTGATTTTTTAAAAATCTAATGTCCCAGTAAATGCTATTTATTAGGCACAGTAAAAACTATAGCTCTATCAAGCAATAGCAACAGCATTTAGACTTATATACCACTCCACAGTGCTTTACAGTATTATTTGGTTTACAATGTCAACATCTTGCCTCCAACCATCTAGACCTCATTTTACCGACCTCGGAAGATGGAAGGCTGGGTCAACCTTAAACTGCATCAGGATCAAATTCCAGGCTGCAGGCAGTTTGCCTGTAATATTTATATTCATTCCAACCATTGCACCACCATGGCATGAGGAATAGCTGAGGGATAGCTGAAAAAATTACTATAACCCAATGAATCTATATCTATCTGCAGCATTGGATTGTGGGTTACAATTTTGGGTTATTAATAGATATGCTTGGTCAATATTTAAATGTGACAAAGATGCAATAAAGAGTTACTTTAGCAACACCCTAAATACAAGCTACAAGACAAAACATACAGAGATAAGTAGGAATCATTAGCCAAATAAACAAATATAGTATTTACCTTGTTCTTCACACTTGTCCTAAAAAATCCAAGAAATCCTTTCTTTTCTTTTACTGGTGTGTCCCAACCAGTTGATATTTTTGTTTCTGTTAAACGCACAAGTCACAATGACTATTCCAATCCAGCTCAAATGACATTTTAATAGAATAGCTTATCTATTTGAAAACTGAAATAAGAAACCTCTACTCCATAGAGGACACAAATATATATTAAAAAGAACTTTTATTATTCTCATGAGAGAAAAAAAGTCATATGGGATTCACTAAAGTCACTTATTTTAGATTTCAACCAAGTTTTATTTATTTATATTAAAACTCTCTGTCTTTGTATCTGTCTGTGGGTATAGATTCTATTAGACTCTTTAAACATGACATAACAAATACAATTTTATTTACAATCAAAAACAAGCATAAATGTGTAAAACACTGTTAAACTCTAATGAAAGCTCATCCTGCTCATTCTTTTTACATGATCTTTTATTATATTTTCAATCAGTCAAACAATTGTTGGCTATTCTGAATATGATGGTTTGCATCTGAATGGAACAGAATTGTGTGATCTAATTGGGTAATTATGCAGTGTACTGCTGATATTTTTTAAACACAAGCAGTATAACAGATTTTAAGTTAGGAAATAAGACAACAGGACAATTTATCCCAAAGAATACCACTTGGCAATTTTGTATAGACAATTTTACCACTCCTTCTATTATTGCTTCTTTACTATTAACTGCCCATTCTTCTTTTAGCTTGCCTAATCAAAACTTGTCTAATATACTCCTCCCTATTTTGTACAAATAATAATAATAGATACTATTTTCTGGAATCTGCATCATTTTACACAACAAATATCACACAAAAATTTAGCTAGTATCTGCAAACAGATAGCAATAGATAATTTATATTGTCTATACTTGACATATTCTATGGAAAATTCACAAATGAGGTGTTTCAGACTAAAATACTACATTGGACAGATAGGTGGATGAGTGGATGGATGGATGGATGGATGGATGGATGGATGGACGGACAGACAGATAGACAGACAGATCAGAGACTAGAATGTCAAAATGTGTTCATATGAAGGTGTGAAAAATCGAAGTGTTACACTTGATTAATCTGGTATCAGATTAATACATTGCCAAAGCAAAATATTGATTTCGTAATAAATAAAAGTTGTACTTGATAATACATATCAATTGCTTAGATTCTCACTAATGGCTTTTCTGCGTTTTCTACAATAAACCAACATATTTGAGAATTTGTGCCCTTGGAAGTCAATTCTTGCAGTTTCTTGCCTAACTCGTCAAGACAGGTCTGCTTTAACCTTTAAATAACTGAATGCATCTATTAATGTATCTATTTCCTTAAAGGTCCCCATAAAGGGAATTCCTAAAGCTCCCATAAAGGCCAAAATATTTGTCTCCACTGTTTCCACAAGTGACTTGGATCCAACAGATTGCTAGCAGGGAAAGGTAGCTCATAGCTGTGGATTGCCCATTTTGTATAGTTAATGAAAGCTTTGGTCTTAAAGGCTTAAAAATAACTATGATACAATAATTGTTATGTATAAATTAATATTACAATAGAGCCACTTTGGTGTGGTGGTTAAAGCATCAGGCTAAAACAGAGATCTCCAAACTTGGCAACTTTAAGACTTGTGGACTTCAACTCCCAGAATTCCTGAGCTTACATGACTGGAAAAGGAATTCTGGGAGTTGAAGTCCACAAGTCTTAAAGCTGTCAAGTTTGAAGACCCCTGGCTAAAATAATAGGAAACTGTAAGTTCTATTCCTGCCTTAAGGCACAAAGCCAGCTGTGCCTTAGGCCAATCACTTTCTCCTAGCCCTAGGAAGGAAGCAATGGAAAACCACTTCTGTAAAACCTTGCCAAGAAAACTGCAGGGGCTAGTCCAGACAGGCTCCAAGAATCTGACACAACTGAATGGAAGGAAAAAAATGTTTACAAAGATTGATAATAAAAGTAAAACAAATGCAAAGTATGCACAAACAATAATCATTAGCAATTCATACAAAGAATTACAAATAATCCAAGCCCTTGTTTACAGGCATTCAACTACAGATAATTATGTTCTATGGTTCTATGGCTATGAATACTGTACTATTAAATTTGCTATTAGTTACCATGCATGTTACAGATTAAACTGACACCCGCAGTTTACTTTCATGCTAATAAAACTTTTGTTTTATTAAAAACAAAAAGTTTTCTACTGTTTGCTAAAATTCATTATGATTCCAGAGATAAATAATATAATAATATTAATATCAAAACATACAAAAACAAAAGCTAAAAGGCAAATTTATCTCCAAGTAGATTTTACAGTACCTCTATAGCTCAAAGTAGGTTCAGAATGAATTTTTGATGGAAGAGCTGCAATTACAGGGAAGTAACGCTATGAAACTATGCAATATATTGATTTATTTACTTATACAAGATTTTAATATATTGCCTATTTTCTAAGGTTTACTATAAAAATACCACCAGCAGCAGCCAAAAAGGTAAAGACAGTCTTTCTACCATCAATGCCTAAACATACTGAATAATAATAAGAGATGAAGCATCTTAGACAAGATCAGATGTTTAGGGCTAACCCATATCTTAGAAGGCACCTATTTCAGAGTATGGGGGCAACTTCTAAGAAGATATATTGTCAGACTCCTACCTCTTTTGTGAGGTGAAAGCCTTAAGCATTCCCTCCTTCAAAGACAATAGAGGGTAGGCCATATCTTATTGGGAAAGTTTTATTTCATAAAGTAAGAACAGGCTTCTTTCTTGTAACTATGCCTTTACACCATTAATTAATGATTCAGTTAAATGAATCATTAAACTGAGTTTTTAGGAAAAGAAAAACTCAACTGAATTTAATTTTTTGAGTGGTAGAGTTCTAGCTACTAGTTTTCTTACCCTATCCCCAACACTTCTGCACTTATAGGGGATATAGGAACATTATCAATCACAGATCCAAATAATTACTTCAGAAGTTAATGCTTAAATGGCCAAATAAAGATCAGAAAAGGATCCAAGTTGTGTTAAGGTTCCACCAAATTTCATAAAAGTTGATAAAGATTGATCAGTACCTGCCTCTACAATATATTGTTTTATATAGCACTATTGTTTTATATAAAGGGTCATATATGGTTTTCATTTATTTTAAACACTTTGTGGAATAAACCTGAAGATATTTGTACAGTTAAATGCTTGTTGCTGCTCCTATTAATGTAGATGATTCAATTTGTTCAGTGATTGAGTAATGTCAATTCAATTCAATTCAATTCAAATGCTTACTAAGTAATTTCACTTTGAAATTATTTTATAAGCTTTTGATGGGCGTTCTGGGTTTTGATGATATAACTGCTATGTCACTGGAAGCAAAAAGAAGTTTTTGTTTCTCATTATATTCTATGACAGATTACTATGAGAGGGATTGTTAATTATCATAAAACAAAACTAGTTGAATATTTTACCAGTTCAGATATTCGTAAGTGAAAAATAGTTAAAATTAACAGTGAACAAGTTACAATTATGTAAATGCCTTGGCATTTCTTCCAGACTTCTTGAAATTAAGAAGGCCAAACTCAATATAATATGGAAAAGTTGAAAAAAATGCCAATGAAGTAAAACTTTGTAAGACCCTGGCAGATATTATGTTGCAGTAGCAATTAAAACTTTCAAGGCAAAAACCACTTCTCATCTGATATATGATTCTTAAGTTTGTATTTATTAGGATAATTACTCTTTATAAATGATACAGAGATGAGATTTAATATAAAGATTTCCTCTGCTTATTTTACACATTGCTTTAATATTAGAAACATGCAGGTTAATAGAAATATAAACCTAGCTCCCTTCTTTTCTTTCTTTTTTAAGCTTAAATCAACTTATTTTTTCATCAGAATTAATTCTAATATTTTTATACCATTGGCTTAAATGAAATAAAGATCTTATAGGTAAAGTAAGAGTAGTAGGATATACAATGGCCTGATTTCAATGTGATATGCAAAGTAAATTGTATAATTGAAAAATATTTCTGAAATAAGTGATATGGACAGATGTATGGTTTATAAACATCCAGATTTAAGAAGTTGTGTAATCAAAAAGCACCCAGCTAGTTATTTAACTAATATAGCAAAGCTAAAGCATTACAGGACATTTATAATGGCTACTATCAAAGTGCTTTGCTCAACTGTACTAGAGAGTTGATATTAAAAGGGCCCTTTCATTACAGAAGGGTAACCTTCCTGCAGGAGAAAAAATGCAGCTGATCACTTGGTTTTTGTATTGCTTCTTTTATCATCTCTTTTAAGAGTTACCCAGGTGCTTTTTATCTATTTCCTTTATTCTTTAAAAATATATGATTAAAATATAGTGAGAAACAAAACTGAGCAAGATTCACCATGGACAAGCAGTGACCCTATCTTGTTGAGATTTAATTTGATTTCATTCAGACCCATAAGGCCAGGACTTCAACAGCATCCTTAGGCTAGTAATACAAAGTTGAATGCAGGTTTTTTGGATTAGACACTGACCATAATAAAAGTTCTGTTGTATTATATAGAATTGGGTGTCCTTAGGATACTGAGGATACTGCATCCTGAACCAAGAGATGATGTGCCCTAGCAACTTCATGTTGTTTTTAAATAGCATGAAGAGGAGATCCACAATGTATGTAACAGTATCATTCGTTCATTCATTCAATTTGTATACTGCCCATCTCATTATCAAGGAACTCTAGGCAGCTTCCAATACCACACATAACAAAATACAACAATTACAGGATTAAAACATAAAAACATAGGGCATTAAAAATTAAAACTTTAAAATTAATATTAAAGTGGATAAAAAGAACCAATGTATAGAAAGACTGAAAGTGAGTTCTACTGATCTACTAGACACCTCCAAAATGGATGTCCCAATTTATAAGCATTAATATCTACAGTAGTTTCCTATGATAATTTAACATAGATCATGACTTACCTTTTTGATTGTTCCAGGCATAAAGCTCCTTTATCCCTAGGTCATTCAATGACTTTGTCAATTCCAATTTTTCGCCAGTGAAAGTATCTCTTAAGAGAACAATGCTTTCCTGACTAACTTCACACTTTTCACAAATGATTGGGATTATACTCTGAAGAGGAACTTCAGGATTCACTCGAACTACTGTCTTTTGTGTCTTCAAATAATTTACTACCAGTCGCACCGTTCTCTAGGGAAAAGCAATTCAAAAACAACCAAGATGTCCAAGCATAATACTTTGTTAATATAATTCAAATCCAATTAAAATAGATCATTTAAACTGGATGAGAAAACTAAAATATAAATGTGCACTGTACCTTCATTTCATTTTAACGCTACAAGATTCTGCATAGATATATGCATAAACAGAAATGATAAGTGCAATATTCTTATATAACACTGAAAAAAAAATAACGAGAAAGGAAACTGAAGAGAAATTACATTTACTAAAATACCATATTTAGTTGTCATAGAAAATAAGGATGTCCTGATTCCTCGAATCTTCCCTCATAAATTAGTTTCAAAACATCAGTTGCAAATAAGAACCATGGAGAAGTTATTTGGCTGGGGATGATGTACAAGTGGCTGAGAAGGGTGTATGAATTACTGGAGAGGCACGGGGCAGGTGAACCCGTGTGGATGCACGAATATGCATGGGATGTGAGACATGGCATAAGCACATTGAAGATTAAGAAGAGTGGTCAGAAAGCACACAAAGAGTATAATGAGGTTTGAGGAGCTGCACAAGGGAGTCATGGTATGAGAGCAGCAAGGCTCAGAGAGGGAGAGAATGCATGGATGGTGGGAGAGGCATGGACAAGTGTAGTGAGGCACAAAGTGATAAGCAAGGATATACTGGTGGCCAGTGAGGAACTGTGTGAGTGCAGAGGACCTAAGGGAGGGTGCACAGCGGGTAATTGATTGGTTTTTCTTGTGGAAAGCCAGCAGGAAGGTTGCAAATCATCACCATGGGATACTGCAATTGTCCTAAGTGTAAGACAGTTGTCAAGTACCCAGATTATCATCATTTGACTGTTGGGATGTTGAGGCAGCCAGAATTTTGAGGACTCGTATAACTCCCTCTCATTCAATGCCATTGTAACTTGAACAGTTGCTGGACAAGTGATTGCTAATTGAGGACTACCTGTATGTCTGTTATACTACACATTTTGCATGATCCATTCCTGAAATGAGTTTCCCACATATTGAAATCAGACCTAGATGTCCAAGCCACAAGCTTTTTGGATGCTTCAGTTAGTTAATTCATGCATTCACTTTTTATTATGATATTCATATACTGCTTATTTAAAAACATCAAATTATTTAAGATGTCAACTTATTAAACTGAATGCAATTCATAAAGCAACCACACATTTTTTCAGGTTTTGACAGCCTATTCAAAAGAACCTCCAACTGTAAATTCAATCAGAACACTAGATCCTTGTGTATTTGGTCAATAATCCCTATCCTTGTGATACTTGATGGATTAAAAGATTGTATCAGCAATACTAAAATCATCCAGCATAGTGAGGTGACAATCCCCTTCTCTTGGACATAATGCAAGAAAATACATCATAAGAAAATGCTTTTACCTCAGGAATCTTTGGTGGAGGCCGCTTAATTTTTTTTTCTTCGGGAACCTTCAATTTTAGAAGTATCTTCTGTACATCTAATGTCCCTATCAAAGTATTTGGCTTGTAACTCACAGATTGTTGTGTCTTCCCAGACTGCAACTCAAAAGTATAGTGGGCTGGGTTTAAGTGGTACTGGCTGCACAACTCTACAAACAGATCCATCACAGGTTTGCTGGAAGAAAAAATGCTGAAGGTTATTCATGACAAGGCCAATTATAAACTAGGATTAACTGTAGGCTTTTGTTGAATATTTTACAATAAATACCTATACAACATACATCACAACAAAAAATATCAAGTCATTATTTTGAAAAGACGTAAACGCTCTTCAAAAAAAATACATGGAAAATATAAATGTTCAAAATCTTTTATATATCTGCATTTTACAGAAGGGTAGGCAATTAATTTTCCCAAAAGCACATGAGAAATGGGGACTGTTGTGAAGGGCTGAATCAATAGGAAATATTTATTAACCAAGGAGATGATTTATCAATTATCATTAAATATCATTGCTTCTCTAAATAAAATCTTCAGGAAACAAATTAGATTTATTTTGATTTTAAAAATTTATTAAGGTTTATTATAGCATAAATTATATTAAAATAAAAATTTTAAAAGGGGGAGTGCAAGACAACACAAGAGCAAACAATAGATACAAACTCAAGGTTAATCGCACCAAACTTGATTGCAGGAAATACGACTTCAGCAACAGAGTGGTCAATGTCTGGAATACTCTACCTGACTCTGTGGTTTCTTCCCCAAACCCCAAAAACTTTAACCTTAGACTGTCTACTATTAACCTCACCCCTTTCCTAAGAGGTCTGTAGGGGGCGTGCATAAGGGCACCAACGTGCCTACCATCCCTGTCCTATTGTTTCTTTTATATTTTTTTCTTATATGTATCCATGTATTCATAACTATGTTTTTACTTATACCTATTATCTTGTAAGTAATTGACAAATAAATAAAATAAATAAAAAAGATGGTAGAAAAAAAGGACAGAAGAAAAATGTGTTGACTTCCAACTATTTCCAACACAGTAAAATACTAATACAACTACAACCTCAACTTTTTATATTACTTATACTTACTGCTTTTCTTATCATTGAACCTTGTTAGACAGGGCCCAATGCTTACAGCTGCCAATGACCTTCTGAATCTTATCTAAAATATTAGCAATTTCCCCAGAAATTTACTCAGAACATAGAATAATAGAATTGGAAGGGACCTCAGAAGTCTTGTAGTCCAACCGCCCCAGATTGCTGGAAGCAGTAGGCTGATTCTGTAAACCGTTTAGTAAAGTACTGTGAAGAGGTATATAAGTCTAAATGCTATTACCTGGTCTCTGTTCAAAAGTCTCCAGTGATGGAACACCCTCACTTCTGAAGGCAAGCTATTGGATTGGTTTATTGCTCTCACTGTTAGAAAAGTTCTCCTTGAGTATAGGTTGCTTCTCTACTTGGTTAGTTTTGAAGATCATTGTTTCTTGTCTTCCTTTTTTGTGCTTTGAAAATAGTTTGACCCCTCATCTTTGTAGGACCTCGTCAAATATTGGAACAATGCTATTATGCCACTCCTGGTCCTTTTTTTTCATTAGACTAGACATATCCAATTCCTGTAACCATTCTTCATACGTTAAAACCTCCAGCCTCCAAATCATTTTTGTTGCTCTTCTCTGCACTCTTTCCAGTGCCTTGATATCTTTTTTATATTATGGTGACCAGAACTGGTTGCAGTATTCCAAATAAGGTCTTGTTAAGGCTTACTAAAGGGCTACTAGAAATTCATGTGATCTAATTATGCCAAAATCCTTTTGGATCTTGAACTTTTCTTCTGGACTGTTGACTATCCCTGCTAGCTTAGTATCATCTGCAAATATGATGAGTTCCCCTTCACTTCCTTCATATAGATTATTTATAAAGATATTGAAGAGTACTGGGCCTAAAATGGAAGTTTGGTGTATCCCAATGCTTATTTCCATCCATGTGGATGTAGTTCCATTGAAGACAACATTGAGGGCAGTTTGTCAGCCACCTTTTACATTTTACTAGCTTGCCAAGAGGTAGTACGATGTCTACTTTATCAAATGCTTTACTGAAATCTAAGTATAATATTCTAATTGATCTACTAATTGGGTATTTTATTGAAGAATGAAATAAGATTTGTTTGGAATGATCCTTTTTGAAAAACCCAGGTTGGCTACTGGTTGTAACCTTGTTTGCTTCTAGGTGTTACATATGTGTGATTACAGATGTCTTTACCATGGAATTTTTAAAAGTTGTGGACAGTATTATTTGTTTCAGGTATTAAAAACCTTACCTCCCATGTACAGTTTTTTTCTGTTCTTCTCCATCTGGAAAAACTACCAGAATGTCCACTATGGTTTTAATCAAATTTCCCTTCATAGTTAAGATATTTTGATCTGACCACATTCCTAGGGTTGGGATTACTTTATGTTCATTAACGTCATGTGCAATGGGAGGCTGTTTTGGTGGTTGGGGAGCACGCCTCTTAATTTTTTGCCTGAAAAAAGAAAAAAAGACAATAGTGACCACATTTGCCTTATTTATATTCCTAAGACATTGTTCCCTTTGCGCAAGTGGAAAGATCACCTGTTCTGGCATGGAAATAAACTTTGGTAGCCAGAACTATTACTAATGAGAAGTCTTTTTTATGTCTCAGGATCTTCACACCCCAGCTTCCAAAGATTTTAGTACTGGTTTGTGATATGACACCTACAAAAAGAATAGATATTACATTGCATGTGTGCATACATATAAAATGTTTAGGTTTTTTTTTCCAGCAATTTTAATAGTGTTAACTTTAGCAAAGAAACAGTTGTGAGAACTCTGTTGACAATTTGCAGTTGGGAAGAAAGGCTCTTACAGGTGGTTGTTAAACCTGTTAAACCAATCTTCAGCAACAATAATTCAAACTTAAAAAGGTGCTGAAGGAGTGGTAGTTATGACTAGTCCTTGTAGTTACAATATTACAATATCCTACAGTGTTGTGATTAGCAATTCTCAATCATCTTTGCTGGATTCATACAAACAAAATCAATGGGGATGCTGGTAGGGGGTTACAAATGGTGATTATATGATGTCCTGCTTAATTGATCACAGTAATTCCCTTAACAATGACAACTGGAAATTCCAAAATTTCTGTTGCTAAGTGGAACGGTCATGTAATATACTTTATAACTGTGTCACTTAGCAATACAAATTCCAGTCCCAATTAAGTGAGGACTACTTGTATTCAATTTGGTAAAACAAAATGGGCGTTGGTTCTTACCTGATACGCCCCTTCTCGGCGAGCCGCAAGGAGCATCCAGAGACTGGGATGTGCTTCCGAGTCCTCTTCTTGCAGGCTGAGCTTTAGATGAGGAAACGCTCCGCCCCCTCACGTGACATCGCGGAGCGCCTCCCCAGTTTTTGCGATAACGAGAAGAGAGGTTATTGATTCTTTCTAATCTACTATTGGCTCCTTGGCTGAAGAAAGAGCCCCCACCAGACGGAGAAATTAGGGTGGGGCTGGATGCTCCTTGCGGCTCGCCGAGAAGGGGCGTATCAGGTAAGAACCAACGCCCATTCTCCCTCGAGCCGCTCGGAGCATCCAGAGACTGGGACATACCAAAGCTGGGCTGTCCTACGGGTGGGACTCCGTCTGGCCCGAAGGCCCCTCCGGATCACTGATGACCCTCTGTAAGACCCGTCGGCCAAAAGAGGCCTCCGCTGAGGCGTACGTATCTATTTTATAATGTCTGATAAACGGGGACGGAGAGGACCAGGTGGCTGCCCGACAAATGTCAGCGATGGGGGCTTGTGTGGCCCAGGCCGCCGAGGTGGCTGCACTTCTGGTGGAATGGGCGGTTATCCCACCCGGAGCGGGCAGAGAATGGGAAAGGTAGCACCTCGCAATAGTAGCCCTGATCCAGCGACTGATGGTGGAAGGGGAAACCTTAAGCCCCATTGACCTGGGTTGAAAGGATAGGAAGAGGGATTCCGACCTTCGCATGGATTGAGTGCGCTTAATATAAATACGCAAGGCCCTTCTAACATCTAGGGTGTGCCAGAGGACCTCCCTGCCCCTGGAGGGCCTGGGGCAGAAATTTGGTAAAATCAGTTCCTGTGACCTATGGAAGGGAGAGTTAACTTTGGGTAGAAAGGTAGGGTCGGGACGAAGGACCACCCGGTCTGCGTGGAACACGCATAGATCGCTCCTGACTGACAGAGCTGCTAATTCCGAAACTCGACGAGCAGAAGTAATAGCTACTAGAAAAACTACCTTGAAGGTGAGAAACTGCAGGGATGACTCCCTCAAAGGCTCGAACGGGGGACGTGTAAGAGAAACGAGGACCTTGTTGAGGTCCCATGTGGGGAACCTGTGAACGGTAGGAGGGCACAGGTTGGTGGCGCCCCTAAGGAAAGATCTAACCCTGGGGTGGTGAGAAAGGGAACCGTAGTTATCACAGGAGACCACGGTTGAGAGAGCAGAAACTTGCCGTCTCAGGGTGTTAGGTGCGAGCCCCTTGCGAAGACCCTCCTGAAGAAATTCCAGGATCTGTGCCACCGAGGGAGAGAGGGGATTAACCTGAGACCCGCTACACCACTTGCAGAACCCTTTCCAAGTGGCATCATAAATTCGTGTGGTGGAAGGGCGCCTGGCGGCCAAAATAGTGTCGATGACTTGAGTTGAAAGATTCTCAGAAGTCAGACGGATCCGCTCAACCTCCAGACGGCTAACTGGAGCCATTGAGGCTCCGGATGCAGAAGGGGCCCCTGAGAGAGGGAGACCTTGTCCGGGGGGATCCTCCATGGGGGCGCTACTGATAAGATGCGGAGATCCGCAAACCATGGTCGCCTGGGCCAATAGGGAGCCACCAGGAGAAGTTCTGCCCTCTCCTGAATGAGTTTTTGAACTACTCTGGGAACTAACGGGAGCGGAGGGAAGGCATATAGGAGCCCTGGGGGCCATGGGCAACGCAGAGCGTTGTGATTCTCCGACCTGTGAGACGGATACCGGGAGAAGAACCGTGGAAGCTGAGTGTTGGTCGGGGAAGCGAAGAGGTCCACCACCGGAAGGCCGAATATTCTGGACGCTTCCTCGAAAAGGGATGGATGGAGACGCCATTCCGCCTGGTCCACCGTGGCCCTGCTCAGCCAGTCCGCCTGAGTATTGTCTACTCCGGAGATGTGTTCGGCTTTTAAAGATAGGAGGTTGGATTCTGCCCAGCGGCAAAGGCGCTCGGCTTCCCTCATTAGCTGGATGGACTGGGTGCCCCCTTGCTTGTTGATATGGGCCTTGGCCGTGACGTTGTCCGTGAGCACGAGAACGTGATGATTGCGGATCTGAGGAAAGCTGCGCAGGGCCAGAAGGACGGCGTGAAGCTCTAGCCAATTGATGCTGCACCCCTGCTCGGTCAGCGACCATTTGCCCTGTGCAGAGATCGAGTCGAGATGAGCGCCCCAACCGGATAGGCTTGCGTCCGTAGTGACGGTGAGTCGTTGAGGTTCCGCGAATAGGTGGCCTCTGTTGATGGCGGGATTGGTCCACCAGAGAAGAGACGTGAGGACCTTTGGAGGGACCCTGACCTTGACCCTCGAGTTGCTTCTTCCGGATCGTTGGAACGGGCGCAGGAACCATTGGAGGGATCTGCTGTGTAGACGAGCCCAGGGAATAATGGAGATGCATGATACCATTTTGCCCAACAATTTAGAGAGGTCCAACAAGGCCACCCTCCTTGAACGCCTGATCTGATTGACCAGGGCTTGAATGCTAAGGAACCTCTCCGGAGAGAGGAAAACTCTCTGTGACACCGAATCAATTATGGCCCCCAAGTGGTTAATTCGAGTAGAAGGGGTAAGTTGGCTCTTTTGCCAATTGACTAGAAAACCGTGTGCCCGTAAGGCGGAGAGGGTGACCCTGGTATCCCTGACTGCCTGGGATTTGGACGGGGAGAGAATAAGAATATCGTCCAAGTAGCAGTGGAGGCGGACGGGAACGGTCCTGAGATGGGCCGCCAGGGCCGCCAGGACCTTGGTGAAGGTCCGGGGGGCCGAAGCCAGACCGAAGGGTAGGGCCACGTATTGATAATGAAGGTTATTATGGCAGAACCTGAGGAATTTGTAATGGGAGGGCCTGATTGGAATGTGGAGGTATGCCTCCGACAGATCTATGGAAGATAACCAGTCTCCCCGCCTGGTGCCTAAGAGAATTGATTGCAAGGTGTGCATCTTGAATCTACGCTGGATGAGGTGACGGTTGAGCCGTTTCAAGTCTAGGATGGCTCTCCAACCCCCAGAGTGTTTGGGCACCACAAAGAGATGGGAGTAAAAACCCTTTCCCTTCTGGGCCGGAGGGACAGGTTGAATGGCCTGGATGTCAAGAAGATGATGGATGGCTGCATCCACTAGAGCCCGTTTGGAGGGATCCCTTGAGGAGGGGGATGGGATGAAACAATCAGGGGGGGCGGACCTGAACTCCAGGGCGAGACCAAACCTGATTGTGTCCCTAACCCATGCATCGGAGGTGGAAATGTCCCATTGGGCGGCGAAGTGGCTGAGGCGGCCGCCAATGGGGAGGGAGGAAGAGGATCTACCTTCTACGGTAGGGCCTTCCTCCCGATCCCCGGAATGGTCTCTTGTAGCCGCCACCGCGTCTGGTTCTATCACCCGGGTCCGAGCGGTCCTGGGACCGGAAGGAAGGAGGTCTAGGGTATCTGGGCGGGAAGGGGGGTTGGTAGAAGGGGCGGGGGAAGCTCCTCCGAAAGGGCTGGGGGCCCCTGGTCTCCGATCTTCGAAAAAGGGAGGGCAAATACTTTCTCTTACTGCGGCCCTCGACCAGCAGTGGTTCCAAAGCTGGGCCAAACAGTTTGTCTCCCGTAATGGGAGCAGTGGCCAGCTTGACCTTATTCTTTACGTCCGCCTGCCAGTGTTTGAGCCATAGCATGCGGCGAGCCGAAACGTGCGACGAGATGGCTCTGGAAGAAAATTTTACCGACTGGTAAGTGGCGTCAGCCGAGAACTCGGCTGCAGCCACTAACTTCGCTATATCCTGGTGAGCTCTCAGATTGGAAGCAGGGATGTGGTCCTTGAGCTGACGTAGCCAGCGGATGGAAGACCTGGTGAAAAATGAGGCGGCCGTAGCCGATTTAATGGCCCAGGCGTCAGATAGGTGGGCCCTACGCAGCGCCAGCTCCGCCCGCCTGTCCTCAGGCTTTAAGGCCTCTAGGGCCTCACTAGGGGTAGAGGAAGAAGCTAGACCCACAATGGGGTCATCAACCTCCGGGATATTCAGAAGGTTAGACAGAGCCGCATCGAGATTGAAGAATCTCTTGTCTTGGCTAGATGGAGCAGGAGGTGTCCCTGAGGAGGTAAGTTGCTTTGCAACCAGATCTACGAAGATGGGAGGGGATGGGATGACCTCGGCTTCCACCACTGGTTGGGTGAAAATGGAGTCTTCTGGGCCCTCTTGGATTGGGGGGGGTTCAGCAGGGGACTGGGGAAGAAGGCCAGATACATTCT